TTGCCAACACTTATTTGCTGTTTTGTTTCTTTTTCTTATTTTATTGTGGCCATCCTAGTGGGTGTGAAGTGGTATCTTGTGATTTTGATTTGCATTTCCCTAATGACTAATGCTGTTGAGCATCTTTTCATGTGCATATTGGCCATTTGTATATCTTCTTTGGAGAAAGGTATATTCAAATCCTTTGCTCATTTTTTAATCAGGTTATTTGTCTTTTTATTGTTGAGTTGTAAGAGTTCTTTCTGTATTCTTGATTTAGACTCTTGTCAGATATATGATTTGCAGATATTTTCTCCCATTCTGTGGGTTGTCTTTTCACTTTCTTAATAGTGTCCTTTGATGCACAAAAGTTTTTCTTTTGATCAAATTCAATTTATCTATTATTTTTTTTATGTCGTATCTAAAAAACCATTGCCTAATCCAAGGTCACACAGATTTTCACCTGTTTTCTTCTATGAGTTTTATACTTTTAGCTCTCATGTTGAAGTCTTTGATGCATTTTGAGTTAAATTTTTATATATGATATGATGTTGGTGTCCACATTTATTCTTTTGCATGTAGCTATTCACTTGTCCCAGGATCATTTGTTGAAAAGACTATTCTTTCTCCATTGAATGATCTTGGCACCCTTGTAAAAAACCAGTTGACTGTAAATGTATGGGTTTTAAGTTCTTTCTTTTTAAATGTTTAGTAAATATACAATATAAAGTAAAACTATTTCTGGTAAAACAAATGTGTTTATTGTTACGTGCCACTGTGAATTTGAGGCTGGTTGTTGCTGCAGCGAAAGCTGCCTAATTCAGTATTCACAGATGTTGTAAGTGATTTAGTTTTAAGCTATGCAACGTTTGCTTACCTGAGAATAAATACATAAATGGCAAGTTGATTTTTAATATTACCTAATAGCATTGTTCATTAGAGCTGAGTTATATGATTTGGAATGCCATCGTGAAGTTCAGACCTGACCTTCATCCATGTGAAGTTCAGAACCTAAAGAATATGTAACTGAGGCAGGTAAAGTGATCTGCCTAAAGTCATATGACTGGTTAGTAGCAAGGCCGGGATTACAAGCTGTGTCCTGCTCCCATGTTCTTTCTGTGATCTGCTGTGTAACTATGAATGCAAAGTGTTGCCTGAGGTAGTCTCAGGAAGCGAAATGACCAGGCTAATTCTGGCCCCAGATAAAGAAGCAGGTGGTTTTTCAGTAGGTGGCTGTGAAATTATGGTTTGATAAGAAATCTTTATATCTGACACTATCAGTGCCAGTGTTTGGCTAATTAACTAAGAAAATCAGTTTAAACAAGTACTCTTAAGGAATGATGCATAGAGTCCTTAACATTTTATCTTAAAACATATATGTGTATGTTTATTCTCCATTGATGTGGTACTGAGCTGTTTTCTCTGATTATTGGTCTGCTGATGAGATTTCTGTATTATCTTTTTTGCATTCAGTTTCACTTTAAGTTGAATGAGAACCCTAAGGCGTTTGCATAGAATCTCGCTGTAGAATGCTTCTAGGTTTGTATGATCCTCCTCCCTGCTGTGCTACCTGGTTCATGATCATCTCATTCATATCTAATTCAACAAAAATTTTCTTATCAATTTCCCTGTATCAAGTCTTTCCAAAGTATCTTCCTTAGTTTTCATAAAAACAATTATCTTTTTGTACTCATTTTGTTGACTTACATAATATTTAGTAAAATTAACAGGGAGCCCTGCCCTGTGGCCTGGTGGTTGAGTTCAGTGCGCTCTGCTTTGGCGGCCCGGGTTCGGTTCCTAGGTACAGACCTATGCCACTTGGCGGCGGCCGTGCTGTGGCGGTGACCCACGTACAAAATAGAGGAAGATGGGCAACAGATGTTAGCTCAGGGCACATCTTCAGAAAAATTCTGTAATTATGATAAGTGCAAGTGGCCTTAACAGGTTTGGGAATCATCACATCTGATTCTTTATGACTAAACAGGTCAACTAGTAGCAATCAAAGTCACGGGTGAAGTACACAGTAACCTGCTGGTTCTAAGCATGTCAGCCTACTAGGGGCATCAGAATGTTACAAAGGGAAAACAGAACATAGCTAATCCTGTGAGACTAATACTTGGAAGTTGGTTATGAAAGATTCTGAACATCTATTCAGTGGAATACTCAGCATCCATATAAAATGTTAATATGAATTTATATGTATTATGAAAAGACATTGAAGTTTTTTTGTATGAGGAAAAGCAGTTTGGAAAACAGCAAGAGTATTAAGATTCTGTGTGTATGTGTGTGTATGTGTACACACAGAAAAGGGTCTGGGGTTCCAATTCAAGATGGCAACATAGGAGGATCGTGAATTCACCTCTTTCCATGGACACACTGAATCTACAGCTACATACAGAACAGTTGTCTGGAAAAAACCCTAAACTAGCTCAGTGATTCCTATACATTGGACAACCAAGAAGAAACCCACATTGAAGCCCATAGGAGAGGCTGAGACACAGTCTTGCCATAAACCCCACGCCTGTTGCAGCGACCCACAATCAGGAGAGAACTCACAACCCTAAGCTTCTCTGAGGAATGGAGAGTTTGAACCCCACATCTGCTACCCAAACTCTTAAGACCTACACCTGAGAGATGAGCTCCTAAAATATCTAGCTTTGAAAGCCAATAGGGCTTGTGTTCACAAGATCCACAGTGAACTGAGAAACAGTTCTTAAAGGGGATGGGTGTGGACTCACCCACCCCAGGGCCCAGCAGAGGGGCAGCCAACTGAAAAGCACCCAGACTCTCTGTGAAAGAGGTTTATTTGCTTATCTGAAAGCATTGGCCTGAGTGGCAGGCATCTAATTTAACAGACATCTAGGGGCCTCTTGAAATACTCTTCAAAAACGGAGGCTGGCAGGTGCCGTCTTTATGCTCTCCCTCTGCCTCACTCCAGCTCACTGGTATCTCCTGGAAAGGAGTTTGTATGCTCATCTGGCACCCCTATTTTTGCAGCTGCTGCCCAGGGGACACCTCTAGATCACCTGGCTCTGGTGGCCAGTGAGGCTTATGCTCGCAGATCCCTCATGTTCATTGCAGCATTATTTACAATAGCAAGGCATGGAAGCAACCTGTGTCCATCGATGGATGAATGGATAAAGAAAATGTGGTATATATAAACAAAGGGATATTATTCAGCCATAAAAAAGGAAATCTTGGGGGCTGGCTCGGTGGCACAAGTGGTTAAGTGCACGCGCTCCGCTGTGGCGGCCTGGGGTTCGCCAGTTTGGATCCTGGGTGTGCACCAACACGCTGCTTGGCAAGCCATGCTGTGGCGGCGTCCCATATAAAGTGGAGGAAGATGGGCATGGATGTTAGCCCAGGGCCAGTCTTCCTCAGCGGAAAAAAAGAGGAGGATTGGCAGGTATTAGCACAGGGCTGATCTCCTCACAAAAAAAAAAAGGGAAATCTTGCTATTTGGTACAAGGTGGTTGGACCTTGAGGGCATAATACTAACCTAAATAAGTCAGACAGAGAAAGACAAGTACTGTATGATCTCATTTATATGTGGAATCCAAAAAAAACAAAAACAAACTCGGGCTGGCCCGGTGGTGTAGCACTTCAATTTGCGTGCTCCTCTTTGGCGGCCTGGGGTTCGCCAGTTCGGATCCTGAGTGCAGACCTACGCATGGCTCATCTAGCTATGCTGAGGCGGCGTCCCACATAGAGCGACTAGAAGGATGTACAACTATGACATACAACTATCTACTGGAGCTTTGAGGAGAGAAAAGGAAGAAGGGAGGAGGGTTGGCAACAGATGTTAGCTCAGGGCCAATCTTCCTCAAAAAAAAAAAAACCCTCAGATACAGAGAACGGATGATTGGTGGTTGCCAGAGGTGGGGACAGGGGAGTGTGAAATGGTTGAAGAGGGGTCAAATGGTACAAACTTCCAGTTATAAGATAAATAATTTATGTCCTGGGGGTGTAATATGCAGCATTGTGACTACAGTTAATAATACTGTATTGTTTATTTGAAAGCTGCTAAGAGAGTAAATCTTAAAAGTCCTTATCACAAGAAAAAAAGTTTGTATAAACCGTGTAGTGATGGATGTTAGCTAGACTTATTGTGGTGTTCATTTGGCAATAGATAACTATGAAATCATTATGTTGTATGTCTGAAACTAATATAATGTTATATGTCAATTATATCTCAATTAAAAAAAAGTAATTTATTTTAAAGAGAAAGACAAAAAAAAGTCTGGAAGGATGTGAATCACAAGAGTAAATAGTGTTAAAAAAACATTAATAGTGCTTATCTGTATTGCATTAGAGTATGGGTGATTTTTTTACTCTCTGTCTTTTATGTAATTACTTCTTTGTTAGTTAAAAGTTTTACCTTGAACGTTTATTACTTTTAAAATAAAGGGAGTAAAGCTGTTTCTATCTTGAGAAGAGCCTATTTGAAATGTGTAATTTGAAAAAATAAAATCCCTTGTAGCATTTAGGCAACAGGAGAGAATGCTCTAGGTCAGGGGCCCCCTTCTTGGCACCTTTATAATGGGAGCAAGCACCTTTGTCATCGTGTGTACTCAAAGGTACTTTTTCCCTGCAGCAGTATACCCTTATTCTTTGTCTCATTTTATTTTATTTTATTTTATTTTTTTGTGAGGAAGATCAGCCCTGAGCTAACATCCGTGCTAATCCTCCTCTTTTTGCTGAGGAAGACCGGCTCTGAGCTAACATCTATTGCCAATCCTCCTCCTTTTTTTCCCCCAAAGCCCCAGTAGATAGTTGTCTGTCATAGTTGCACATCCTTCTAGTTGCTGTGTGTGGGACTCGGCCTCAGCATGGCCAGAGAAGCAGTGCGTCGGTGTGCGCCCGGGATCCGAACCTGGGCCGCCAGTAGCGGAGCGCGCGCACCCAACCGGAAAGCCACGGGACTGGCCCCTGTCTCGTTTTATTTTTATATGTAAAAGTACTTTTTTTATGTAAAATGTGATATCATTGCAATAATTTTTCTTTTCTGGTTTTATTTTCAGGAGGATTTTGATGTCGATCATTTTGTGTCTGACTGTAGGAAGCGTGTCCAGCTGGAAGAGCTGAGAGATGACCTGGAACTCTACTATAAACTTCTTAAAACAGCCATGGTCGAACTCATCAACAAGGATTATGCAGATTTTGTCAACCTTTCAACAAACTTGGTAAACCTTAAATCCACAATTCCTACTAGTCAATATTTACACATACACGTAACACTCTTTCTCACTCATATTTATTCTTAAAAATGCTAAGTGTTTTTAGAAACCTTTCAGTTGATTTTTTCCCCCAGAAACTTGAAGAGATTACTAATCTCATTAATAAAAGAAGTAAACTTCCTTGGTATACATTTTTTGTTTTTACTGTTTTAAGATGTTCTAGATTGATTTTTTTTGAATTAGTTATTAAGAAATAGTGAAAAGTAAAGGATAATAATATCAGAGTGGTTGTTTTTGTTAGTTGCTAAGTGGTCACCATGAAATCTCACTGGTTTAGATTAATTTGCAAGAGTAAATATCAACTATTCTTAAGGAAGTGTTTAATTTACTTTCAGGTACATGTGTTAGCCAGAGCTAGGTTAAAGAAACATTGGCCAATATTGATTTTTAGGAGGCTTGGTTTTATAAAAATGTAAGAATGGTTTGTAATGAGCATATCAGTTGTTTATAAAAGTTGTTTAGAAATGCTTGGGTTTAGTACTTGTAAAAGAATTTTCTTGTTCATATTTTATTTTGTTTTTAAATGTTTGTCCAAAGAATTACAGAAAGTAGCCATCTCCATGAGAATTTCAAGAAGCATTAAAATTAATGAGCCATATTTGCCTTTGGGAAATATACCACTAAGATAAATGTTCCAGTAGGATTTGAAATCCCCCAAATTTTATTTCCATTCTATTTAATTTGGATTTTTCTCAAGGGTTGTAATAATGGTTGGGAGAGAGATAGTCTGTCAGCCCTTAACATCAGCTAGTTGTAATAATGTTTAAGAGAGAGAGAGTCCATCAGACTTCAACATCGTAAATAACAGACAGATAGCTATTCACTACCTGTTAAAATTTTTCAAATTCATTTAAAATTTTGGATTCATCCGAGGGCGAATGATGCATAAAGAAGCTTTCATTTATTATGACTTGCCTTATTTTTATAGTTTCATGTATGTCAACAGATTTTTTTCATATTCTATGAGCAATGTTTATGGCAAAATAACATTTCTGTTATTTAGCTAGTTACTTAGCAATATATGGTTGTCCGTTTTTGTTGTACAGAAAGAATAACCTAAGTCTAGTACTGCTTTGATCATTAAGCAGATACTTCATTATTACTCTGGATTGGATGTGTTTGTGCCAACATGATTTTGCCTTTAGGTTGGCATGGACAAAGCCCTCAACCAGCTTTCTGTGCCTTTGGGACAGTTACGAGAAGAGGTTCTGGTAAGTCCCCAAGTAATACTCAACAGTCTACCGTAAAGCATGTTATGCTTGTTTGCCTTTTCCAAGAAGAATTTCTTTAATCTGTTAGGTTGGTTAGTAGTGGTTGTTTAATGGTCTATGATTGTGGTACCCACCTTCAAAAAAGTTGTAAATGATTCTCTATTTTTTGCCTGTGATATTACAACCTAAAAAACTTGTTTGATTTGAAGGTGAGAGATTCTCAGAGTAGACAGCTTTAAAATGTCAGGGGAGGAGAAGAAGGCTATTTTAAAATTCAACTTGTTAATGCCACCTCACTCATATGTAAATGGTCTCCAATTTACAAATGGCTTATATTTTAAGAATTTGTAGTTTTACAAGTATTTTCCAGACAATATCTTATGTGTGGTTAGATTCCTAGACAAGTCCACTAAAGCTATTTAACCCCGAATGTAGCTGAAAGATAATGTAAATGTAATGTACTACCTAGTAAACATTACATTTTAATGTTTCTCTGAAAGAATCTCTGCTGTGGGAATGAGACTCCCCACCTGTAAACCTCTGGGGACAGGGTCTCCATCTGGATGAACAGTAGAGGAGGAATTTTGGCATGACTTCCAACAGAAAACTCTGCTGCCCTGTCCTGCCTTGACCCCAGTCTGTGTCAGGAGTCCCGACTTCTGGGCTCCCTTAGCTCTGATGCACTTTTCATAAACTTGGTGCACTACACCATCATTGTGTGTGTCACCACCAGACCACACTAGCTTGAGTGGCCTTGTGCACCGAGTCCCAAGACAGTGCCTGACACGTAAGAGGCTCTTACGATAATATAAGTAAAGATGCAGTGCATGAATAGAGCTGAAAAAAATGCAGAATAGCAGAAGTGGCAGTGCTGAGAAGTCCAGAGGAGGAGTAGGCAGGAAAGAATTCATAAAAGAGAGAAGTCTTGAGCTGTGCCTAGAACTAGCAAATATTTTTGAATGTTTATGTCTTGTATGAATTTTATAAAAGCTTGTTAAAGTGCTCTTCCTTGGATTGGAAGAGAAATGGTTTTTGTGGTCCGCTGTTGGATTCCACACCAGCCTCTGCATGGCTCTCCTGCCTTCTTTTTGGTGTGCCTCTTCCACCCTCCAGCCTTATAGCTGTGGTGTTTCCTGAGCCTCAGCCTTTCTTTAGCCTTCCACTCTTCTCTCTAAACTCTCTCGGTGGTGGTAGATTCACTCTGCTCACTTCTGCTCTGAACTTCGTAGACTGCTCTCACAGGCACAGACGCTAGTCCTGCCTTACCACCTGCCAGTACCATATCCTCTCCCTTTTTCCACAGCTGTTGTTATAGCCGCCTTTCTCCTAGTCAGCCACAGACCTTACCTTCCTTTTTGATCTCAACTCCTGAAGCTACTCTGTGAGATTCTAAGGTCATTGAGGGATAAGACCCTTTCTGTCTTGTTCATTATTATGTCCTCATTGTATTCTCTAGTTCTCCAAAATGTATCGAATCTAGTCTAAAGATTTTACTGAGTAAAGTCCTCCTAAATTCATGCCTCCTTTTTTATTTCTACTTCTTTCCAAAATGAAGCTTGCAGTGCACCCAAGTGTATGCCTCACCAACCCTGACTATGTCGTTCTCAGTTATATCTTCCTATGTTTCATCTTCTGATAATGTCTCCACCCTTGTCAACATACACAGATTTTCAGAGTCCAACTCAAGTTTCGTCTCCTTTGCCAAACTTCCCTATACTTTGATTCAGATTATCCTTTCTCTACCCTGACCACCTGTGACATTCATTGTATGTGTATTATTATTCTTTTGGCCATTAATCCTGTGTGACCTTGGCTTTACATGTCATTTTGCCTCTGAATCATAAATACTCTCAATAGAAATTATGTCTGATACTTTGTATTTTTGTCAGTATCTGCCTAATATTGGCTTGTAGATACTAAGTTCTGTGGGATTGAATTAAAAGTATAAATTTCATAATGTTACAAAACAATTTCTGCAATACTTTTTCTTTATTCTTTTCAAGAATCTTAGGTCATCTGTCAGTGAAGGAATTCGGGCAGTAGATGAACGAATGTCTAAACAAGAGGACATTAGGAAAAAAAAGGTATACTCAAGTGTTATACTCTTAAAACATGGACTCACAATAGCGTCTTGGAGTTAAGGCACTTTCACGCGTATAGTCTCATTTACTCCTCTGGGGACCTTTGCAGAGAGGAAACACAACGTCTTTCTTCTTTTTAGGGATCAGTAGCTGAGCAAGGCTAGTGAAGGGAAGAGCCAGAGCTGGAGCCCAGGTCTTCTCACTCCTGGTCTGATTAAAGTCCTCTTAATAAGAGGGGTGTGGTGAAGTAATTAATTAAAGAAAAAAGACAAAATTGTGTAATCTTCTTGTGCTTTAATTTATTCATGGTAGCATTGACACTTTTAAAGAAAACTAGATTTCTTATGCTACCTGCCAGCTAAAAGCCCTCTCCTCATATCGTCTCAGTACAATGAAACTGTTTTTTTCCAATGCTCTTTTGCGTGTGTATATTTATGCATCATAATGTCATGTTACCTATTTGAAATGATCTATATGCCTAAGTGTCAAGTGATTAAAGACATTATTATACTCTGTGATATTTATTGCAGAGGTTGAGGAACATTATAAAAACTATAATAAGACAGAATTTTAGAGGTACTCGAGTGGTCACAAAATTAAAATTCCTCATTTTTTCCAGAACAAGAAACAATAATAACTGACATCAGTGAAGCGCTTTACAATTTAATAGGCATGTAAGTTCAGCACCCCTGTAAGGAAGATATTCGTATTTTAGAGATTAGGGAGTAAGTGGGCTTTCTAAAGCAAACTTGCAGTATTCTACTGCAGGCTTATTGTTTTAGAAAAAGGAGTGTGTTGCTTTCTCATTCTGCCATATTTTTGTCATCTTTTGTCTCCCTTCTTTAAATATACCTCTGCGTGCACTGCCTTTAGTTTTTAGTGGTCCTTTGTTTTAGTTTTCTTTTCTGATTTTATGTATAATCATAATAATACAATTAGGCAGAGGATACAATTAGGCTTTAAGACTCCCAACTCTAGCCTGATGCTCTATACAGTGTCTTCTTCTTTTTTTTTTTTTTTGTGAGGAAGATCAGCCCTGAGCTTACATCCATGCCAATCCTCCTCTTTTTGCTGAGGAAGACCGGCCCTGAGCTAACGTCTATTGCTATTCCTCTTCCGTTTTTTCCCTTTTTCTCCCCAAAGCCCTGGTAGATAATTGTATGTCGTAGTTGCACATCCTGCTAGTTGCTATATGTGGGACGCTGCCTCAGCATGACTGGAGAAGCGGTGCATCGGTGCGCGCCCAGGATCCGAACCCGGGCTGCCAGTAGCAGAGCGTGCGCACTTAACCGCTAAGCCACGGGGCCGGCCCCTATACGGTGTTTTCTAAATTTGTTTATTAGCATATTTTTTAAAAATTGCAAGGGAGAGAAGCCTATTTTAGAGATCTGTTTAATTCTCCTTTAGATCTCCTCTCAGCTTTTATCCAAAGATTTCAAGAACGTAGTGAGGTTTTAGAAAAGATTGTAAGCTTCATGAGAGCAGGGAATTTTTCTTGTTTTGTTCACTAATGTTCCCACTGTCTAGAAGAATGTCTAGCTCATAATAGGTGCTCAGTAACTATTTGTTTAATGAATGATTTTTGTATCTTGTTCTTTTAAGGATGAGAGTTTTTATAATGTTCCTCAACCTTGTGATAATATTTATCAGAGTATAATAATGTCTTCAATCACTCGACACTTAGGCATATAGGTATATTATACACATGTAAATTGAGAGGATAAATATGATCAGAAAGTAAAGTTAAACATGAAAAAGGGGTCATAAGAAAATAAATGTAGTATCAATAGATTCCTTTAAGATGGAAAAAGAAAGAAGGAATAAGAATGTGGAATATGAGAAGGCAAAAAAGTCTTAGTTTTTTTTTTTTTTTTTAACTATAAACTTGCAATAGAATATTGAAATATGCTTGTTCTAGAAAGCCAAAATTGAGATTTGCATTCTTGGGAATTCGGTGTTATGTAGAAATATTCAAAATGTGGGATGATCTAAATATCCTAAATTGACTTCAACTTTGTATTTTTCCTGCATTTAGCATAGGGAAATAAAATAATTAAGATTAAACATTATAACTTTTTTTTTTCTGCTTCATTTTTATTTTTATAGATGTGTGTGTTGAGGCTTATACAAGTAATTCGATCGGTTGAGAAAATTGAAAAAATCTTAAATTCTCAAAGTTCTAAAGAAACATCTGCACTAGAAGCAAGCAGGTAAGTGTTTTTTACTAAATAGCACATAAATTAACATTTTACACCCAGGCTAAATTTTTTCTTTTTAATTAGAAGTCATTTCTGAAAAAGACGAAAATCCAAGTCTATGGCTTAGTGTTTTTGAATGTAGCTCAAGAAAAGCGGAGTACGTGAAGTGGTAAAGTGTATATAATGTGTTGTTATAAAACTTTTGTGGTTGTAGGCCACAGTTCTAACACATCACCTTTCAGGGACTCGGAGGCAGTGTGATTTCAGTGGAAGATTTTTATCTTTGGAATTGCCTTACCTAAAAGCTGGCAAAATCCTCGTTGCTCTTCAAGGTGTGGTGTAGCATTCATCTTTCTTAGATTTTTTTAGACATGCCCAGAGTAGTACTATTGATTTATCTTGTACCAGCGTTATATCATTAAGAAACACTATAAGACACATTTAGTTGAAATTTATAAACAGGAAAGAGAAAGCTTATAAGAAAAAAATGACCATTTCCTTGTTATTCTGTAACTGTCTTATTACCTTCCTAGTCTGAACTTTAAATCAGTCAGGTAGATGAATGACTCAGAAAATGAGTTGAGTAGCTCATATCAACACCAGTGGGAAGTGCCGTCGTATAGGGGAAAGAGTGTAGGTTTGTGTTGCACCTACCAGTAGGGCAGCCTGCGTTAAGGTACTTCAGTTCTCTCTGTCGTGTAGTGTAAGGCTAATAACAACTCCACTTGCAGGGTTGTCTGACAATCACAGATACTGTCACCAGTACCTGGCATATGTAGGCCATCATACATGTCCAATTTGGATCTCACAATAGCTTTTCTTAAAGTCACGTTGACAGCCATAACAATTTTCCATGAGTAATATTGAGTAATCTGCTGCAAAACCAACCGAAGCCAAATCAAATATACTTGTAGTTCAAAGTCTTGGTCATATGATAAAGGCATGTTGGATTTCTTAATTTTAGGAATCAAAATTTTAGATTTGGGATGACCTTAGAGACAGTATGCTCCATGTCTCTCATTATACAGATTAAGAAATAAGGCAACCAAAAAGGAAGTGACTCCCTTGTCCTAGGTCTCTACTGCCTTTTAATCAAGATGTATAAATAAGTGATCAACACCTGCCATCTTTGTTTTCTCAGCCCACTGCGCTTCTTCCGTTCCCCTTCATCTGCTCTTTTCAGAGTCTCCATTAATGTTCGTCTTTGACCTGCTCTGCTTCTCTGTTGCCCTCGGCAGCATCAGCAGCCCCTTTCAGCTGTGTCCTCACTCGGCATCCACGATACCTGTCTCTCCATTTTCCTTCCATCTTTGCCCATTCCTACTCTGTTCCTTTGAGAGAAATACCTCATTGATTTCTATTTATATAGTACTATTCCTTTGCAATGTTCCATCTTCAATGTAATAGACATTATGCTGTTTCTTGCTCACAATTGCCTTTGAGGACCTTTTCTTTAATTCACATCAGTAGCTTTGAGCTGTAGATAAGGGAAAACCAGAGCAATGTGAGTAGTAAATATATCATGGTTTTTAGGCCAAGAAAGATTTAGATAATAGATAATTTATAAATAATAAATCCACACTAGGTTATTCAGGAAGGAGTTAGGGATTAACCTTTTGGGTTGGTCATGCTGGGCAATTACTCTCCCTCTAAACTAGTTTGGATGCTACAAATACAGGACTGGGTAGACCACTGATGGTCTCAGTATGGTATTTCCTATTTCCTTATGATGTGGATTTTTTCCCTCACAACTGTTTGATCATCATCAAGTATAAGATGCCTCAGAAAAGCCCAGCAAGTGCTTCAATGCCTTTATATTTTTCTTCTTTTGCTATTTAACTTACTTTTGAGTGGTATTGATGCTTTTTAATGTGTTTTAGGAAAAAAGTGCATTTGCTCCACTTTGTGGCAGATACACAATGAATGTCTTCTCACTAGAACCCAGAGCATATAGATTGACTGTTCTTTCAGCTATTTGGTGAATGTAAATTTAAAGTAAGCTATTTTGAGGTATTTCATTTATTGTTGCTAGAGGGGCAGTTTTATTTTATTGAGGAGACAACAGTATTTGGTATTTTATAAGTATTAGAAGTATCTTAGGAGAAAGGAGAATGAGACAGGCGAGAAGTAGAAGAGGATTCAGGTGTAAATAATAGGACAGGGCAAGAGAGAAAGAAGGGAGGTTAAAGATGAAGAGGGTCATGAATGGGAGAGCCTGGAGAAGGTGGTGGAAACATGTAATTGCATCCGTGCTGACCTAGTCCAGCTCCTGCTTGTTGTCTGGGCCCTGTGGCCTGAGGCCAGGCAGCGTCAGTGCCCTGTACTTATTACTTCCCCACTGTCCCTAGAACATGCTGTGCACATGACTCGTAGTGAAAATGGCTGCTTTAGTTCTGAGCTTATAATGAGTGGAACAACACTCACTGAGGAAAGTTAAAACACAGAGGGTACTAAAGTATCACTATTGCTAACCGTGTGGTGTATTCTCTTGGAAATTAAAAAACTTTAGGAATTAAATGTCTATAATTGTCTCTATTAGCCCACTTTTGACTGGACAAATTTTGGAGAGAATTGCTACAGAATTTAACCAGTTACAGTTTCATGCTGTTCAAAGCAAAGGCATGCCTCTTTTGGACAAAGTAAGACCAGTAAGTGTTGTTTTAGATTTTCACAGTTTGGTATTTAGGAATTTGCTGAATAATTTTGGTTTAACCTAATAATGCCCTGATAATTGTTGATCTACAGGATTTTGAAGCTAGCTTTGAATTTTTCTTTTAGTTTTTATCTTTTGGGCCCCTGCTTCCTAAGTGTCACACATGGTAGATTTTGTGTAAATAGGCAGGCATATTCTCCGAATTAGAAGAGTACAATTAATTCTGGATTTCCTGTAACTGGACACATTATGTGATGTAGTCAAAGTTAATTTATCCAAAGCTCTTGACTGGGCTTTAGACTCATGGTGTTTGTTAGATTTACTCTGTGGCCTAAGAGGAAAAGAACTTTTTTTTATTCTGTAATTCTGTCTGAACTCCTTTGATGAAGCAAAGATTTACTTATAAAGAAATTGTGGGGAGGAGGAGAGATTCATTTCTACTCTCCAGGAAATATTGATATTTTAACTTCATATATATTATCTTATGTTGGAATAAGAGACTTGTTATATATATAGTAAATTTTTAGAAATTGTTCCAGCTGGAGCTTTCTTGTCTATTTTTTCTTGCAGCGTATAGCTGGCATTACGGCCATGTTACAGCAGTCACTGGAAGGCCTCCTGTTAGAAGGTCTTCAGACTTCCAATGTTGATATAATACGCCACTGCTTACGGACTTATGCTACGATTGACAAGACACGAGATGCAGAGGCATTAGTTGGTCAAGTGCTAGTGAAACCATACATGGATGAGGTTTGTCCACCTCAAGGCTTCATTCAGCAGATGTTCATAGAACATCTAAGAGCATCTGTTCTGTCTTTGATACTTCATTGGGTGTGAGGAATAGATCAGAGATCTTTCTGTAAAGATTCTGAGAGTTACTGCAGAACCAGTTGTAAGAAATCAGTGGTCCCTGTTGGTTACAATCAGCATGCCAGGAGTTGGGCATGCTCTCTAGTATTTTCTAGTGATGCTGTAGCCCAGGGATCATCTTAATTTAGTGAGGGTGAGGGTCTTGCCTAGGAAGAAAGTATGTATCAAAACATTTTTAGGTCAATTTTATGGTATGTGAATTATACATCAATAAAGTTGTTAAAAAGTGTTTTTGAACAACTGGTCTCATGGGTAGAATAGAACAATTAAGCAGATGATACTGCAGTGTGTGCCTGGTGGAGGAGCGTGCAGAGAACTCTGTGAACTTGAAAAGTCTGTGAGGAGGGAAGTCTTCACAGAATAGATTTGGCCTAAGTCTTGAAAAACGTGGAGGATTTTGCCAAGCTAGGGAGGTGGGAGGAAGGGCATATTCAAAGACAAAGGACTGTTACACGCAAATTAGCAGAGTAATACTTTAGATCCAGAACTTGGCTATGCAGTATCCTTTACCTATTAGGATGCAGTTAAAATATAGGAAGTAGGTATATTCTGTCTTGAGCAGCTAGAATAGAGATTGTAGCATATGAACTTGTCACTACTCAACAGTTTCTGACATACAAATATGACAGTTTCATCTGGTTTAAACAGGGATGGAAGTCACAAAGCCCATCCTCGGTGTTTGCAGACTTTCTCCCAGTTACCTGTCAGTGTGAATGTGCTTTCTGTCCAATAAGTACAAAACTTCTACTGAGCGTTTCAGGATGAAAGTCTTCTGTTTTTAAAAGGGGAAAATTGACTCTCATGGATAAAAATGAAATTTAACGATTAATTTCAATAATCCTGTCAACTTCATTAGGATTACTAAAAATAAATAATCTGTCAGTTCCCTCTGTATCCTGTTGTATTTCATGGCTATCTCTACGGGAGTGAAAAAGACAAATTATCTACATTATTTTGTTATCAATAAGCAAAAATATTTTAGTTACTAATTTATGCCTTTGTTTTTCATTGAACTGAATCTAATGTGCTAAATTAAAGAAATATTTGAAGTTTCAGTGGCATATTATATAAACCATGGCCATATTTTTATCTTATTTAAATTCATATACTTATCATCTTGTCATTTACCTCTTGACTTTTAACTTTACCACAAAAAATAAAATAATAAAGTAAAATAAAATGTATTTTCTTCCATCTTTCTCTGCCTCAAACCTTCCCCTAATCTGAACGATAGTAGAGGAAAAGGCCAAAGCCAAGACAGTAGAGAACTGTTGTGGGGAATCATTGTTTTACTTTCAAGCTCAGAAGGGAAGCAGATGAATGTGCCTGGTTTTTCAGCTTCAGGCCAGTCTCTGTCCCCCAGCCTATGTCTCCCCCAAGGTCAGAACTGTACGCTCTAATCTTAGGAGCTAGTTTTGAGTGTGGCTATTATATTTACCTTACTGTTTAGTAAACATGTCAATTGGGGAGGAAGGTGGGCATGAGGAAGCATAATTTTAAGGTTTTCTTCTTTTCTCTGTAGAATATAGTTCGTACTTCTCTTTTAGATGCTTTTTAAAAAAATGATGTTCCTTTTGATAGGTGATTGTAGAGCAGATTGTTGAGTCTCATCCAAATGGCCTTCAGATCATGTATAATAAACTCCTGGAGTTTGTTCCTCACCATTGCCGCCTTCTTCGAGAGGTCACAGGAGGAGCCATCTCAAGGTAATTTAAACTGCTGTGCTTAGAACTCACCTCAGTCTAATGATTGCACCTGTAACTACTAGTGCACTACTGATTACTGGCTGTCTGGTATGAACTAGGTACATATGTACTTTTCTGTTTGATTGTTACCACAATGCTATGAGGCAGGTATCGTTAGCCTTGTTTTCAGATAAGGAAACTAACAAATGAAGGTAAGATTGAAGGTAACATCTCTCTGAATCCAAAGCCCATACTTTTTCCTTCTCTACACTGTCTTTTTTCTAAATCAAGTTTGAAATCAAAATTAATTTCTTTCCATTATTCTAATGTCATAATCTATCTATAAATTAATTCTATTTAATTCAAGTTTGGTACTAATTGTGATTAAAGTCATCTTCAGTTTTCCCTCCTTTTATTTAATTTCCACGACTTTCCAGTTCAGTTTTCTAAGTATCCCATTACCTTTCACATTGCCATTGTCCCAGTCCAGGCCTTTTGTCATCTTTTGTCCAGAGTAACAGATCTCCCCACCTGGTCTCCCTACCTCCACTGCAGCCTTTGGCTATCACATTTACCCAGAATGCTGAGATTCATAGACTGCCTTCTTTTTAAGTCTTTAGTGGCTTCTCATTGTTGATGGAGGACAATCCAGGCTTCTTGACGTAGTGTGTAAGGCCCTTCATGCTCTGGGCTAGGTGGTTCTCTACTGTAGAACTCTGTACGGTGGAACTTCCCTCATACCACCTAGTCTCCGGCCACACAGCACTTGCCCTTCCCTACTTGTGTGCTTCTGTGTTTTTCCTCATTGTCCCCTGCCCTTCCTGTTTCCTTTTTTTTCTGTTGACGTGTCACTCCACATGAAGCTCCAGCTCAGCTACTACTTCCTTCAAGAGACCATCCTTCATCCTGATGTTCAGCATTAAGCATGTCCTCTAGATTCCATTACCTGTTGCTTTTACTTCTTTTGAAGACTAATTTCCATCTTAACAGTATGCTCACCTCCTGCACTGCCCACACCTCCCCTACCTCCTGGCACAGTGTCTTAAAGATAGCAACTACCCAGTGTTTGCAGAAGGGAAGAACTAATCTATTCTCAACATTAGAAAGGCAAATAAGGTCCCTATCTTCATGGAGTAAGCAATATATTTGGTCTTGAATTTTTTTTTTTTTTTTGCTGAGGAAGATTTGCCCTGAGCTAACATCTGTTACCAGTCTTCCTCTTTTTGCTGAGGAAGATTCACCCTGAGCTAACATCTATGCCAATCTTCCTCTGTTTGTGGGTCGCTACCACAGCATGGCTGACAACAGATGGTGTAGGTCTTTGCCTGAGATCCGAACCTGTGAACCTGGGCTGCTGAAGCGGAGAGGGCTGAATTTAACCACTACGCTACAGGGCCAGCCAGAATTTTTTTTTTTTTGCTGAGGAAGATTAGCCGTGATCTAACATCTGTTACCAGTCTTCCTCTGTTTTTGCTTGAGGGAGATTAGCCTTGAGCTAACCATCTGTGCCAATCTTCCTCCACTTTATATATGGGTCGCTGCCACAGCATGGCTGACAAGTGTAGGTCTGCACCCAGGATCTGAGCCTGCTAACCCGGGGCCACTGAAGTGAAGCGTGCCGAACTTAACCATTACACCACGGGACCAGCCCCAGGCCAGAATTTTTGTTCTTTGAAAAAAAAAAAAAAGTCTGGGGTAATAAATATGCTGCTTAACCTTTGAAGTACCCTCTCTATTTCCTCTACATGATTTCAGATGAAGCTTAGTTTTGCTAGTTTTGTTTAGTACTCATGAAGATTAGGTGGATTTGGATTTGGGGTAAGAATTTAGTAGAAGTCATGATGTGTAAAATTAAAAAAGCCACAATTATGAAGCAACCAGTCAGTCATTAGATTTGACAAGGTCAGTCTTGGTCCTGAAATGTCAAGTTTCAAAGCTTCACAAGTTCTTTTTCACAGTTTTCAGTGTGCAGAATTCTTGTAGAAACCTCAGAAATTTGAGGAACCTACATTGTACTCTGGTAGGTCACGGTCATTTGCTTCAAGCCCCCCCATCGTTATGCTGCCCCTGACCTTCCGTTGCTCAGCTCCTGTCTTCCGGTTTCCAATTGCTTCCCTCATCCATTGATTTCTTTGTTCTTGTATCACCCTCAATGCCTTTAATAACTGGCAACACCAGTGACCTTCAGGATTTGTCTTCCAAAGAATGTGGATTAGGTTTATAATTAGCCCTCTGTTTCAATTGGTAATCTTGCAGATTTAAATTTTCTCTTTGAGGCTTTAATTAGATATTTACTTTGGGGATGAGGAGATCTTGTCATTTAATATTGCTTATATTATGTGCATCTGTAGTTTTAAAATCCTCAATTCTCTTCTTTCCTTCACCAGATACCTTAATAAAGTTAGTTCTCATTATGCTTAAAAGGATATGATATGCTATGTGGAATTGGGTAGATGGGAAGTAGGCATCTTCTTTACCCTCCTCAGCCCTCCTCCAACCCTGCCAGTAATTTCTTATCAATACTTAACTATAATAAGATTAGTTGATAGCCCTTTCTGGACAGTAAAGCAGAGCTTCCTTGATAACCAATAGTTCTTGATAATTTTTGCTGAGTAGGAAAATTATGAAAACTTTTTTCTGTTTATTTTTAATACTTAACAGAATGTTCCATTTTTATATCACAGCTTAGCTACAGAACTTTCAGTTTTGCTAAAATAAGACCAAATATTGAATTGCTGACCATTTTTAATGAAAATTTTCTTAAAATAGAGCATATTACTCCATATACAACAATCAAAGGGGGTACATCAGTGAGATGGTGTTTGCCTAGAAGATACTTCCAGGTCTTTAAGTTCTAGAGAAACTTAAGGAATCTGCCTTATTTAGTTATGTATATAACCATTACTAACATAGCACTTGCTATAAGCGAGGCACCATCCTAAATACTTTAAATATTAATCCATATAGTGATCCTATTAGTTGGGTATTATCATCATCCCTGTTTTAAAGATGAAGAAACCAAATCACAGATAAGTTGAATGACCCAAGATTGGAACTCAAGTACTCTTGCTCCTGAGTGCATGCTTTTATCTTAATGTTGCCTCTCATCTAAGTTTGTGAATTAGAAATTCAAAGTCCAGCCTTTTGCTAAAAACTGCAAAATAAAGCATGCACACACCAAAAACATGTTAACAGTTTTTTGTATCAAGATTTGTGATCAGGATATTACATGAAATAGTCATAGAATTCTAGAACTGAAGATAATCTTAGAGATGCCTTAAAAATCACAAAGCTGTTAGTAATTGGTAAATTAGCATAATTTACATTGCTTTAGGATTTCGTGGTGTTAAGGTTGAATGCAACGATTGCTTTTCTTATGGTATTAGACTACTTCTTTTCCAAGATAGAGTGTAAATGTGTAGCCTATTTTAGGGGAGAAAATTGTGCCAAGGTGATTTGATGTAGTAGTTTTGCCTTATCCTTGAGACTAGCTTGCTCTAATATGTGATAGAAATAGCAGTCAGGATAGAGAGGATGTGTCAGGTTCAAGGTGAGACTGAGATCAAGGAGTGAAATAGAAGTTTGGGTCTAGAAACAAACTAATTGAGAAATGTAGTTTAAAAAAAAGTTTGAAATAAGTTTTAGGCTGAGGAACATTTAGTAAAAGCACCACAATGGAATTTTGCTCTTTGTAAATAGAAGATTATGGTGTATTTGACTGCAAGTTTGCTCTTATCTTACAGTGAAAAAGGCAATACTGTTCCTGGATATGATTTTTTGGTGAATTCTGTCTGGCCAGAAATAGTACGAGGATTAGAAGAAAAATTGCCCTCACTTTTTAATCCTGGGAATCCGGATGCATTTCATGAGGTACTTTTCCCCCATGGCCTTGATTCTTAAAGATGTTAACCTGAGGCTTTAGAATAGTTGTGTTCTCTTCTGCACAGTCTTGGTTCTGTGCTTTATTAAACAGAGAAATTTGAGTTTCTGAGTGAGCATTTACCTTAAAATATACACATTGTTTTATCTAAGTAATAGTCTCTGATACTTCTGAGAATAAGAATAATTTTAGAATGTAAGGTGAAGTTCAGTCTAGTAACAGTTATGGCTAGGTATGTACATTATTTTCTAACTTTTTTTTCAGTTATTTTATTGAGGTCATAATGGTTTATAACATTGTGTAATTTCAGGTGTACATTATTATTTATCAGTTTCTGCATAGACTGCATTGTGCTCACCACCAAGAGTCAGATTTTTATCTGTCACCATATGTATGTGCCCCTTTACCCCTTTCGCTCACCCCCTAACCCCCTTCCCCTCTGGTAACCACTGATCTGTTCTCTTTATCCATGGGTTTATCTTTGACATATGAGTGAAGTCATGCAGTGTTTGTCTTTCTTTGTCTGGCTTATTTCTCTTAACATAATACCCTCAAGATCCATCCATGTTGTTGCAAATGGGATGATTTTGTCTTTTTTTATGGCTAAGTATTCCATTATATATACACACACACACACACACACACACACACCACGTCTTCTTGATCCATTCATCAGTTGGTGGGCACTTGGATTGCTTCCACGTCTTGGCTATTGTGAAGAATGCTGCAAAGAAGATAGGGGTGCATAAGTCTCTTTGAATTGTTGATTTCAGGTTCTTTGGATAAATACCCGGTAGTGTGATAGCTGGATCCTATGGTATTTCTATTTTTAATTTTTTGAGAAATCTTCATAGTGTTTTCTGTAGTGGCTGCACCAGTTTGCATTCCTACCAGCAGTGTGTGAGGGTTCCCTTTTCTCCACATCCTCTCCAACATTTGTTATTTTTTGTCTTGGTAATTATAGCCGTTCTGACAGGTATAAGTTGATATCTCATTGTAGTTTTGATTTGCATTTCCCTGATAATTAGTGATGTTGAACATCTTTTCATGTGCCTGTTGACCATCTGTATGTCTTCTTGGGAAAAATGTCTGTTCATGTTCTCTGCCCATTTTTTGATTGGGTTGTTCATTGTTTTGTTGTTGAGTTGTATGAGTTCTTTATATAGTTTAGAAATTAAACGCTTGTTGAAAAATATGTTCTCCCACTTGGTGGGTTGTCTTTTTGTTTTCTTCACAGTTTCCTTTGCCTTGCAGAATCTCTTTAGACTGATATCGCCCCATTTGTTTATTTTTTCTTTTGTTTCCCTTGCCTAAGTAGACATGTTATTCAAAAAGATGCTGCTAAGACCGATGTCAAAGAGTATACTGCCTATATTTTCTTCTAGGAGTTTTATGGTTTCAGGTCTTACATTCAAGTCTTGAATCCATTTTGAGTTAATTTTTATGTATGGTGTAAGATAATGGTCTACTTTTATTCTTTTGCATGTGGCTGTCTGGTTTCCCAACACCATTTATTGAAGAGACTTTGCTTTCTCTGTTGTATGTACTTGGCTCCTTTGTCGAAGATTAGCTATCTGTAGATGTGTGGTTTTATTTCTGAGCTTTCAATTCTGTTCTTTTGATCTGTGTGTCTGTTTTTGTGCCAGTACCATGCTGTTTTGAGTACTGTAGCTTTCTAGTATATTTCAAAGTCAGGGATTGTGATGCCTCCAGCTTTGTTCTTTTCTCTCAGGATTGCTTTGGCTATTTGGGGTCTTTGGTTGTTCTATATAAATTTTAGGATTCTGTGTTCTATTTCCATGAAGAATGTCATTGGGATTCTGATTGGGATTGCATTGAATCTGTAGATTGCTTTAGGTAATATGGACATTTTAACTATGTTTATTCTTCCAATCCATAGGCATGGAATATCTTTCCATTTATTTATGCCATCTTCGATTTCTTACAATAATGTCTTATAGTTTTCATTGTATAGGTCTTTCACCTCCTTGGTTAAATTTATTCCTAGATATTTTATTCCTTTTATTGCACTTATAAATGGGATTGTGTTCTTCAGTTCTCTTTCTGCCAGTTTGTTATTAGTGTATAGAAATGCAACTGATTTTTGTAAGTTGATTTTGTACCCTGCAACTTTGTTATAGTTGTTGATTATTTCTAATAGTTTTCTGGTAGATTCTTTAGGGCTTTCTATATGTAGGTTCATGTCATCCACAGAGAGAGTTTCACTTCTCCCTTTCCAATCTGGACGCTTTTTATTTCTTTTTCTTGCCCAATTGCTCTGGCCAAAACCTCCAGTACTATGTTGAATAAGAGTGGCGAGAGTGGCCACCCTTGTCTTGTTCCTATTCTCAGAGGGATGGCTTTCAGTTTTTCACCATTGAGTATGATGTTGCCTGAGGGTTTATGATATATGGTCTTTATTATGTTGAGGTACTTTCCTTCTATACCCATTTTATTGAGAGTTTGTATCATAAATGGATTTTGGATCTTCTCAAATGCTTTCTCTGCATCTATTGAGATGATCGTGTGATTTTTATTCCTCATTTTGTTAATGTGGTGTATCACATTGATTTGCAGATGTTGAACCATCCCTGTGTCCCTGGTATAAATCCCAGTTGATCGTGGTGTATGATCCTTTTAATGGATCACTGTATTTGGTTTGCCTATATTTTGTCGAGGACTTATGTTCATCAGTGATATTGGCCAGTAATTTTTTCTTTGTTTTGTCCTTGTCTAGCTTTGGGATCAGGATGAGGTTGGCTCATAGAATGAGTTTAGGAAGTGTTCTGTCTTCCTCAGTTTTTTGAAATAGTTTGAGAAGGATAGGTATAAAATATTCTTGGAATGTTTGGTAGAATTTTCCAGAGAAGCCATCTGGTCCTGGACTTTTGTTTTGTGGGAGGTTTTTGATTACTGTTTCAATCTCTTTACTTGTGTTTGTTCTATTCTGATTCTCTATTTCTTCTTGATTCAGTTTTGGGAAGTTGTATGAGTCTAAGAATTTATCCATTTCTTCTAGGTTATCCAATTTGTTGGCATATAGTTTTTCACAGTATTCCTTTATAATCCTTTGTATTTGTGTGGTATCGGTTGTAATTTCTCCTCTTTCATTTCTAATTTTATTTATTTGCGCCTTCTTTCTTTTTTTCTTAGTGAGTCTCGCTAAGGGTTTGTCAATTTTGTTTATCTTCTCAAAGAACCAGATCTTACTTTCGTTGATCCTTTCTACTGTTTTTTTAGTCTCTTTCATATATTTCTGCTCTAATTTTTATTATTTCCCTCCTTCTGCTAACTTTGGGCTTTATTTGTTCTTCTTGTACTAGTTCTGTTAGGTGTAGTTTAAGATTACCTATTTGAGATTTTTCTTGTTTGTTGAGGTGGGCCTTTATTACTGTGAATTCCCCCTGAGCATTGCTTTTGCTGCATCCCGCAAGAGTTGGTATGGTGCTTTTCCATTTTCATTTGTCTATGTTTTGATTTCCCCTTTGATTTCTTCATTGACCCAATGGTTGTTCAGTAGCATGTTGTTTAGTTTCCACATATTTGTGACTTTCCCAGCATAAGGTCTATCTTTGAGAATGTTCCATGTGCACTTGAGAAGAATGTATATTCTATGTTTTTGGATGGAATGTTCTATATATATCTATTAAGTCCATCTGGTCTGGCTTTTCATTTAAATCCACTATTTCCTTTTTGACTTTCTGTCTGGATGAATTGTCCATTGATGTAAGTGGGGTGTTGAGGTCCCCTACTATTATTGTTTTGCTGCTAGTTTCTCCCTTTAGGTCTGTTAATAGTTGCTTTATATACTTTGATGCTTCAGCATTAGGTGTATATATATTCATAACTGTTATGAATATAACACTTCCTCTTGGTGGAATATCCCTTTTAGCATTATATACTCCCCCTCTTTGTCTCTTACTGTCTTTCTTATCTTGAAGTCTGCTTTGTCTGATATAAGTATTTCAACACCTGCTTTCTTCTGCTTGCCATTTGCTTGGAGTATTGTCATCTATCCCTTTACTCTGAGCCTTTGTTTGTCTTTAGAGCTGAGATATGTTCCCTGGAGGCAGCATATTGTTGGCTCTTGTTTTTTAATCCATCCAGACACTCTGTGTCTTTTGATTTGAGAATTCAATCCATTTACATTTAGAGTGATTATTGCTATATGAGGGCTTAATACTGCCATTTTCTCTCTTGTTTTCCGGTTGTTCTATATTTCCCTGTTTTTCTTCCCTTATATTTCTGACTGTCATTTCAGCTTGGTGGTTTTCTGTGATGGTTTTCTCAGTTTTCTCTTTATTTATGAATTGTGTCTCTGCTCTGATTTTTTGTTTAGTGGTCACCATGAGGTTTGTGTAAAAGATCTCAGAAAGGAGATAGTCCATTTTCCGATAGCCGCTTATCTCCATGAACCTAAGCAGGTTCCATCCCTTTCCCCTTCCCCATCTAAGTCATTATCACAAATTATTCCATTTTGTGTTGTGAGTTTGTGCTAAAATGAAGTGTTTATGGTTAGTTTTGATGCTTTCCTTCCCTTTATCTTTAACGTTGTAATTAAGTGTTTGTTAACCTGTTCTGATAGAGAGCTGCAATTTTATGATTTAGTCTGTGTTTATCTCCTTGCTCAAGGCTTTTTAAACCTTTGCTTTTTTGTTTCAGGTATGAGGGCATCCTTGATTATTTCTTGTAAGGGAGGTCTAGTGGCAATGAACTCCCTCAGCTTTTGTTTATCTGGGAAAACCTTTATTTATTCATCATCCCTGAAGGATAGTTTCACTGGATAGAGCATTCTTGGCTGAAAGGTTTTGTCTTTCAGTATTTTGAATATATCATTCCACTCTCTCCTAGCCTGTGAGGTTTCTGCCGAGAAATCCACTGAAAGCCTGTTAGGGGTTCCTTTGTAAGTTATTCTCTTTTGCCTTGCTGCCCTTAATATTTTTTTCTTTGTCATTGACTTTTGACAGTTTTAATAATATAGACCTTGGAG